TTAGTTTTTCGGCCACGCTTTGCGCGGAAATGTAAATTAATTGGTCTAACAAAGTGCACTTCAATTGTGCTGCGGGCATGTGTTGTTATAGTTGTTAGTTTGCGTGTTCTTGTTGGTTGGGTTTTTCGTGGAGTTTTTCATTTCTGGCCGGGCGATCATTAAAGTTTCGAGTGTTTCATAATGCAGCCAGCATAATATTTTTTAGCGGTTGACTTTTTTGACTTCTCCATAATAATTTTAAATGGTAATGGTTTTTTTATGAAATGAAAATTGCCATTTTGTAGTACAAATTCTTTTTTTTTATTTGGAGTAAGGTTTATTTTGAATTTTAAGAACATTAAGATTGGAGTTTAAACCGACATAGCTTCAAAAGTAAAAAATTGTAACATTGTAAAATATTGTTTGTATATATACAAATTATAAACATATATGCTCACTTTGTGAAACCATTTTCCGCTTAAAACGTTTTAAATCATAAAATTTAACACCCACAAAAACTCATTTAAATATTAACCAAACGAGCTAGAAACATAAAATCGCTTTTAATGCAGCTTAAAGTCACGAGAAATGTTTTGATTGCAACCTACTACTAAAACCAACAAAATCCGATTCGGTGATTATACATTTTAACTAAATAGACAATTAATGCTCAAGAGAGCTGCTGGTCAAAATCTCGAGTTTTGCCACTAATCAAACTACTTTTCGAGGAACCCACGCAGCATCAACATCAACATCAACAACGGCATCAGACCATCGGTCAGACAATTTCAAGTGCTTCTAACAAACAAACTTCAAAGCCTACGCATTCTGTTGTTATTTGTTGTGAACTTGTTTTTGTACATTTTTTTTTGTTTTTCGTTACTTGTTGCTTAGCCGCCGCTGCTGCTTTTGTTTCTGTTTCAGTTTCTGGGCTTCAACAGGTAAAGTCTCAAGCCCCACACGGACCAAAAAAGTTGACAAGCATTCGGCGGGTTGACATTTGTTGTTTGGCTTGAGCTGTGTTGTTGACCAATGTCGTCTCCCACACCCAGTGTCTAGTTTTCCTGGGCCGGCACCTCGAAAGTGTGGAAATCGCGTCATGAATGAGCATTTCCCCAACTCGAGACACGTTCGCTTGAGTTGGCATTTGATAAATAATCGGCTTTGGCCCTTTCCTTGTTTTTTCTATGCTAAATCGTGTTAACACGTCTTGGATCTTATGTGGTCGTCTCTTCGATTCCCCCAAGAGAATTGAAAGTTTTTCAAGACTTCTTTGTTTTTCAGCTTCTGTTTAAGACTCAAAATCATTGAGAGGCAATGTTTTTTGTGGAGTATTTGAAAGACTTGAGACTTTAAGTAGATAATTATCTGGGTTAAGGTTGAGTTGCAGCACAAAAAATAAGAATAACACCTGAAGTCTTCGTTGAGATGATAATAAACTATGACAATTTATTTATCTTTAGTAGTATTGCTTAAGTTTTTATACCTTGGAACATGTGGTAATTAATTACATGGATTACGAAAAATGAGGCGTAGTCATAATGACATCGAAATGCTATATCAATGAAAATTCAAATTTTCTTTCGTCCAAATTTCATCAAGAGCATAAACAAAGTTCGTGTTTTCCTAATAAAAGAAATTTAAACTTTTTTCTTAAATTAGACAATTTTTTAAATATAAAATCTCTCCCAAGTTTCCTATTTTTAAATCCTACTTAGAAATTTCCAATACAATCATGTCTAAAAAATTTGTTACACTTTCCAAAACATTTGTTAAACACAAACTTTTTAACACTTAGAACTTTACGCGTTTTTCGAGCAAAGCTATTTTCGCTTTCATTTTAATATTCCATTTGTCTATTTCATGGATGTTTTTGGTAGATTTAATTGGCACTAAAACAATTCTTAAGGCGATTATAATTACCAGTGAGTAGAATTTTCATAAATTCTACATAAAATTTCAATTTCACTTCGCGCAAAGCGCACACAAGCACAGGGTCATTGTATGTGTGGTTGAGTGAAATATGTGTGCATAATTAATGCACATTTCACTTTAAAATGCACAGGCCCACACACTCACAAACGAGCAATGCACATGCACTCGCTTACCAGCACACACACACACGCACACACTCGCATATAAAATGGCGACGGCTGTGACGCCTTTTCCGCCATTTGCTTTGAGCCGAGATTTGTGTTTAATTGTTGCATGGCGAATTCAATTTGCATGTTGTTCTTCTCTGAGTGTATGTGTGTGTGTGTGTTTGAGTGAGCATTTATTTGTTTGTTTGTGTTGGTGAAAGTGCAATGTACGCCTTCAAGTAGACAACGTATTTAGTTTTCTTATTTATTTAAAGTTTTTTAAAAAACCTTTTTAAAATTTTAAGTATATTTTTAATTTGATATTTATTATGCGTATTTCTCTAAATTTCTGTTATACTTTTTTTCGATTTTTGTAACGATTTCTTTGGTAATGTTCACCAAAACCGGAACCGGTTAAAAAGAGTTGTGCCGCTTAGCGTTTTCCGTTAAACACGCGCGACCGGGCGCATCTCAAAACACGAACTGAAATCCGAATATGAAAACTCGACGCCAGCATCCACAATGGACGCCGGCAGCGACGTCGGCAGAGGCAGCGGCAGAGGCAGCGAGTTACCCGGAATGGAATCCGAAATAGCTAAAGTTCGTTCGTCCATCGGCATCGACAGCGAACTTCGTGGACCGATGATTTTCCACATGTGGGAGTCGACCATTTCCCGAGATAATAACAACAACAGAGAGCGAAAACGACAACAGAGCGCGCCCCCGAAAAAAATTGGAGACTTAGAGAGCGTTAGGCGTTTTGCACCGAACAGCCGGTTGGTACCGTTATTACCTACCGGCAAAATAAACAAAAACAAGGAACGCTAAAATATGTATTCGACTATTGAGAGCTCTCACTTTGAATTAAATATTAACAAATTAATCTAATTTGGTTTTTCAGAAGAGTATATAAATATTACTACCTTAAAATATATAAGTCCTGAATTTGTATATTTAAAACAATTAGTTTGTAATATTTTTAACTTTAAAAATATGTTTTCGTTTTATTTAAAAATATATATAATTATTTAAAAATATAATAAAAAATATAATATATATGTCGTTCAACAAAATAAATAGATAATTATTTTACAAAATTATTTTAAAATAATGTATGGCAATCCAACAGTATTTTTAATTGTCCCATACTTTTTATGTATTAATTTAAAAGGCCAGCTACTATAATACAATTTCATGCCAAAGTCCACATTTTTGAAAACGTATATAGGACGTTTAAACCAAAGAAAAGTGGAGACTTATTCTTCCCAATATAATGCACGGAATAGTGGTCAACACATTGAGCTTTTGAGGAAAGTGGCGTCTGCGCAATGACAAATTTATTTAAGAACTACATAATAAAGGGAACATTTTATGCTCAGGTATGATATCCTGTATTTAAACCAACAGGAAAAGCTTTAAGTAAAAGCTTTCTAAGCCAAATTTTAATTTAAATTGAAGACAGTTCCGTTTTATTTTATCAGAGTTTAATTAACTTAAAATCATTACTATGAATATACATATATACATCAACAAAAATTCAAACAAAATTTGGTTGGAAAACGTTTTTTATAGGTTTCTAGATAATTAAATAAATAAATTAATTCTTTACAAAAACTGCAGACTTAGAAAATTAGGTCTCTTAAATAATGAAAGAAATATTCAAAAACAGCACAGAAAGAACAACTTTTTTGTGTTAAGCTCATTAACAGAACATTTATCGGTTGCCTTTTTAAGTCTTAATTTCAAAGCGTGAAAAATTTGCATTTGAGCCCCCAACAATTGAAGCAATAAAATAATTATAATGGAATTGAAATAAAACGAAAAAAAAACCAAAAAGCTCAATGCTGCAGACAAAAGACAGGAATACTCTATTGAAAAGAAAAGCGAAAAGCATCTTAAAATAATTATCTTAAATGGGAGAATGTAATTACCACAAAGAGGCAGGCACAGAACAATGAAAATGGGGCTGATGATGGTGCCACACCCCCACCACCACCCCCACTGTTTCAAGCACCCCCTCTTCTTCCTCAAGCAATTCAAATAAACAAACAAACAGACGCCACAACATCACTTGAGAAACGCGCGCCACGCTGAACTCTGGAGAATATTGTAAGTGGTGGGGAGGGTAGTTGGAAAATAGGGAAATCGCTAGACAAGAGGGGAGGGAACCGCCGCCCCCAAAGATGGGTGTCACTGATAAGTGCATCCAGCAAGTGGGCAGAACTCATTTGTGGCCACAATGCCAATTTTGATTGCAACTGCAATCGAGACATTGAGTGCTCCGAGTGGAAGGCTTTGGCTTTGGATTTGTATACTGATTTGGATCATCATAGGCAAGTTCAAGTGGATCGAACACAGCCCTTGATCGGCTACAATAAATTAAGCCACTTAATTGCTTCCGCTTATCAAAAAGATAAGGGAAATTAAGAGAACTAAAAATAAAGACCAAAATCAAAGGGTTTGCAAGCGATTCGGTTTAAGAAATGAAAGAAAGTGAAAAAACGCTGTTTGCACTATAAGTGAAAATAACAATTATGTTGACTCAATTTTTTTTGTCATCTACAATTTATTTTTAAATATAATAGCTAAAAAAAACTAATTCTTCCTTTAAGTGAGTAACAGAAAAAATATTTTAAACTTATTTAAAAGTTTTAAATTTTTCCTGATTTTTTTTTTAATTTTATTACAAATGCTTTTAAAAAGATATGTATTCAGTATCCCATGACTGGTCATCATCTTTCCCAGTTTATTCTCAGATGGTCAGACAAGCGAAAGTCAATGAACTTCCACGCAAAAGAAAATGTTTTTTTATACACTGCATAAATCTGTCAAGTGTCGTTAAATTGTTACAGAATGGATATATATCATTATGTCAGCAGCGGGGTGTATTTCCATTTTTTTTTATAGAAAAAGAATGACAAGAAAAATAAACCCACTTACCTTGAACATTAATGGATTGCGTTCAATGTCAGACTCAGCGTTTTCACAAAGTGTTTCCGTTTCCGAGAGAAAAGCAAGGAACTGACAAGAGAAAGTTTTGCATAATAATAAGATACAACTTAATATTGCATTTAAACGTACCTGATCCATTGCCCGATCAAACGATTGAAGACTATGCACAGCCGCATGCAGTTGTTTGCCACGATTTATGACTCCATTGTTTAAATTAGCATAGCTAAAACAAGTTAAAGAAACATTTAGAGAATATTTGGAATTACAAATAATATATATAAAAATAGGAGTTGGTTTCACAAATGCTCAACAATGCACAAATAAATTTCAAATCAACTAATTAATAATAAAAATATTAAATCACTCAGATATTTTGAATATGTTCAAAATCACTTGAAATCACTTTTAATGAAAATCTATATTAAAAACAGATTTAGACAGTATGATTTAAAAACGTTTTAAAATTTTCTTGGCGCTTTTAAAAACGTTACTAAATATCTAATTTATAAAAAAAAAAAAATTACTTTAACTACAGCAACACATTTTAGGATTCAGTCTCAAAATAAAATCTAAATTAATTGTTGTTTAGTTTTGCTTACAATTTTTTGTTTAATTACTATTTATTTCAATCATAAACCACTTAACTCACCGTTGATTAATAACTTCCGTCATCTTCTTTATCCTGGTGGTATCATCGTTCGGATAGACAGCAATCAGTTTCTGTGTCAACTCGTTGAAGATGTCAAAATGTTGCTTATTCTGGTGCAACTCCGCATGGAAGGACTGTGAAAGGAATCGGGCATAATTAGAGTGGATGCAAAAAACCCCAGACAGACAGACTCTCATACCTTCTGCTCCTTTTGCTGGGCCTCCAGGATGTCGGCTGTGGTGGCAATCGTTCCCATGCGTTCGGCTCTCTGCTCCATGCGGGCCAGCCACTTCTCGAGCTCCAAACGCTTGGCCTCGAACCTGCGGTCAATTTGAGAAGGTGACACAAAGAGGGTTAAGTGGCGGTCGAGTGTTAAATGGGGGTGCCACCTACCGCTGTGAGTCGCTCAGCATGTTTTTAAGTTGGGCAGCTCGCTGCAGGACACATTGCGACGTCTCATCCCAATGCTCACGCAAACGGGTCACTGTTGAACAATTAAACGAATTACTGATTTATTCACTTGCTGTCTGGTTAGTTAACGTTAAATAAAACCATATTAAATGTCAATAAGTAAACAAAGATTAGCCAGAGATTGTCGCCTTTCTGTTTGGTTTATTGCCCAACCATGCAATTTAGTAGGAATAACAACTTTCGTTAGCAATTTGCTTTGCCAGCTCGGCTTCGGCTTCGGGTTCGTGTGTGTGCTGTTATGGGTTAAGCTTGAGCCCTGTGCGGGAGGCAGGTTGGGGTTAAGTTACAACACAAACACACTATCTATCCTTCGGTGTGGTTACCTTTCAGACAGCAACGCATATAATCTAAGTCCGCTGAACAGTGCGGTGCTAGGGAAAACTGTTTCAGCTCTACAAAGTCCAAAATCAAGAAGAAACAGAAATGTTAAACCAAAAAATATACAAAAAATAGTAGATTCTTAAAGAATTTATGAGTTTTGTTAAAACACAAACTCAATAAATATGAAGAATATATAAAATTACTAAAATTTATTAGTTGTAGTGTTGTAGGAAAAATTTACATTTCCAAGTGACTTTTATCAACATAAAGAAGTAAGTCGCCGTGACGTACAAATAAGTTTAAATTTTAGTAAAAAAAAAACAAAAATCTTATATAATCATTTTTTTTTTATTAAAAATATAATTTTAGGTTCTTCAAATTTTTGACTATTTACATAAAAATATTTATTTTTATTGAAGAAAATATAAAAAATTTAAATCAAATTGTTATTGTAAAACTTAAAATGATTACGGTCCTTGAACGAAACATTAAGTTTTTTTTACAAAATCTAAGATGATTTATTTAACTATAACAAAACAACATCTTTAAAATTTTTATAGGGTTTGAGTAAATTTGAGAATTGAGACTACCGAAGCAATTAAAATAATTTCTATTATAAGGTTGGTTTTAAAAAGCTTAATTAAAATAAGAAGAGGTTTCCAAAGCTTGTCATTCGGTTGAAATTATTAGATTTTTGGGACACAATTGATTGAGACAAGATGTAAGAGGTCATTTCGGAAACCTTACCCTGAATGCCACCGGCCGAATTCTGTGTGAGCTGGGTCTCGTCGTGCGACGACCGCCTGCGCATGCGCAGCTCCTCCCGCGACAATGCCCCGCTGCCGGCGGCCACTTGAGCGGCGGCAGCTGCAGCGGCCGCAGCAGCAGCGGCGGCAGCTGCGGCCCTCGACTGCGCCTGGTGTTGCAACAAAGCGGCGGCGGCCGCCGAGCCCGGCGATTGCCCCATGTTGTGAACCACCTGTGGCGGTATGTTGCCCAGCAGTTGCTGGCGGATCTGCTCGCGGAATTCGCTGCTTAGCGGCATTGGTGGTTGCTGCGCACCGGAAGTTGCTGAATTTGCCACCACATTTCCGGGGACTGCATTTCCACCTCCACCACCACCGCCACCAGTACCAGCAGCAGCGGCGGCGGCCACGGCATTTAAATTATTCTGAAAACGATGGCGACTATACTGCAGTTCCAGGGGCAAATTCCGATCCAGGGAACGCATGTGGTGCTCTATGGTGGAGCGCATGGATTGCTCCACCTGCGAATTCGAGCTCGAATTCGAGGAGGAATTGTTGAGCAGGGATTGCTGCTGGGCCTGGGCCCTGAGTTGTTTCAATTCCTCGAGGGATTGTCGCGAATCACCAGCCCTGCCCTCATCCAGGGATAGGTTTCTCTCGTAGTTGGCCGTTCTTAGATTCACCGAGCCACCGCCCAAATGTCGAGTGCCCGCCGCTAGACTAGCCTTGAAACTCAAATCGAAATTGTTTTGCACGGCGGCCTCCATGTTCCTTAGATTCATTTGCTCCTGCATGGCCCGCTCCATGTTGCGCAGGCCACTTTCAATTCCCCGCAGTGCATCTTCCGATCCGAACTCCTCCGTGGGCGAGGCTATCGATCTATGGTTGATTTTCTTCGCCTCACTGGCTCTTGTGGGCGCCGGCGAGGGCACGGGATTAAGGCCATTCTTGGAACTCTGTTCGCTGAGGGCCGCCACGGCGGATTGGAGGACCAGTGGCGGCGGTGGGGGTGGCATTTCAAAGGGGTTCGAACACCGCCGGGCGGCCATCCCCTCGGCGGAGAGGGTTGAATGCTTTTCGGGTGGCGGCGGTGGTTTGTCCTTGAACTTCATGCCCGCCAGAGGGGAGTTTTGTGCTGAATTTTGAGCGGAATTTTGCGTTGATGCGGGTTTTCTGGGCAGCGGCGGAGGTTGCCTCATGGGTGGCGGTAATCCTGGCACCACCATTGCCTGACCATCGGGAATACTCTTCAGACTGTGTCGCTTGGGCGGTATTTCCGGTGGTGCCGCTCGATCGCTGGCGCCCCTGGCGGGAATCGCCGGCACCGGACGACTCTGGGTGGGCGGCAAGGGGGCGGGGCACCGCTTTTGTGGGTCGGCAGTGTATTAACCATATGCTGCTCCTGCGATCCCTGTTTCCGCAGCAATTGCTGACCTCTAAGTGCCGCCTGGGCCGCCAATTCCGAGTTGATGCGAGGTATCTCAGGTGCGAGTTTTGGTCCGGGTGCGCCCGAATCATCGCCACCCAAAGTGGGTGGGATAGGAGGCGGTGGTTTGGCAGCCATCTCAGTTCTTCACTCCTCTCTGCTGTCTTGTGCGTTTTACTGGATTTTCCGGGATTTTTATTTTGAAATATGTATGCGTTTGCAGGCGTTTAACACTTCACTTGATTTGCATTCTCACGCGCCGCATTATGTGCGTTTGATATGTTCGATTTCACTCAATTTGAGTTGAAATAAATGTATAAAAAAGTGTATAAAAAAGCGGTACTGTTGACATTGGCAAAATGTTGATTGTTAATGGTAAACATAAGCTCCACCTTTCTCTCTCTCTTTCTATTTCTCTCTCGCTCTCTCTCTATTCTGGATTTGGGTTTGTTTATAAAACGTGCCGGAAACTTAACCCTACCACCGACCGCAAGCAAATACTCAAAAGAGCAAAACAAACAGAAGAGAGTGCGAAAAATGCTCTTAGATTCTCACTCTCTCTATTGCTTTCTATCCAACTTTATTTTTCCCCCGCAAACACGCACACATTCACTTCATTTTCACCACACTTTGCGTCTTTAACTGCGCCGGCTGGCTCTCGTTGCATACTTTTTGGCGCTGTCTGCTTTACCGACTCATTCGCTCGGTACAGTGCAAACTAGCTAAGTGGGAAACTTATACGCTATTATCTGTAACTTCTTCTTACAGTATTTTAACACAATTTTTTGTTGGTTGGTGTATTTTAATTATTTGTTACACCCGTTGTGCCTGTATTATGATTTTGTTTATTAACTTATATGTTTTTATATATTTAATATGTTATATTAATTTTCTTTAGAATATCTCAGAAAACAAAATTCTTTGATTTTAGGAAAAAATTATATTAAATTTTAGCCTTTCATACGAAATTTAGTAAAAAACATGACCTAAAACGACTCTTAAACGACTCACTGCCTTAAATTCTCAAAGTTACTAAAATTAAGGAAATTTTTCAAAAAATCAGAGAATTTGTTTACTAAGTGTAGAAAAACTCATTTTTTTCCAAAAATATAAATATATATATAAATAAAAGATTTCCAACGTTGAGAAAAAGAAATAGAAACTTGACTTATTCATAAAGATGTAAAATATAAATGGCAAAAACTTCTTTGAATATTTTTTCAAACCGACATCTTAGCTAGTTTCTACTGTTCTGTTCTGGACAGGCTGTTCTGCATACAAAATCAGTGGGCAACTGGCAATGTTTTTACGCACTACGAAGTCGGTCCTGCTGCTGCATTTAACTTTTGGCACCTGCAACAACGAAAACCCAGACATGTAGTGCGCTTTATTGTGACCCCGGCTCCACCAAAATCCTTCTTTGCCAGTCACTTCCTTGGTGGCAGGTGCATTTAACTTCTGCCACAGACACAGACACAGACACAAACACAGACGCTGGCACACCAGCAAAGAAGTGCAGACAACAATGTCGGGACGATGGCCATTTGGCTTACAGCGCATTTCAGTTTCCACTTGTGATTCTTTTGTTGCCCGTGTGCCACTGTTGCATACTCTCAGCTCAACTACTGCCTGTCATTGCAGCAGTGGCAGCAGTGGCAGAAGGACTAAAAACTATTATCCCGACGACCCCTTCTGGCAACTGAGGATCCTGAGTCCTTCCTTCCTTCCGCCACCGACTCGACTCACAGTTAATAGCTTTCTCGCTGTAATTTTTACGGCCGCGCCTGCCGGCTTCTTGATTATGCAGCCGTCACCAGGATCTATTTAATTTATGACAAAAGTTGATTATTTAAAACTTCACTGCCAGCTGGAGAAAGTTTCGCTGCTCCATTTTTCGACTGCCTCACAATTGCACTCAATTAGCTGTAGGTTTTGCAGAAAGTTATGCAAAGCGGATTAGCGGACACTAATATGACAACTAATGAAAAAGGATTGTCAAAAGTTCTAGCAGATATGTCCAAAAAGTAAATAAAATATATTAACTATCAAACATTAAATGAAGTTTATCCTCAGTGTTTTAGTTTTTAAATCGTTGACAAATAAAATAGAATGATTATTTCATAAAATGATCAATAACTTCTAATTTGAAATGTGTATAGACAAACATAAAATGGTATAGATATATTGTAGCCCTACGTAATGAGAAAAAAGTGATTATTCAAAGCTTCACTCGTCAGTAGTACTCTAATGGTTATTTGATATGCCCATGTCAACAACCTTCCATTCGTCAATTGCAAACAAAACTGATGAATTAGGTATGTATTATTCGTCAAATTTCCAGCACTTATCGACAATATGTTCCACATTCGACCGACCACTGAATTGATTACCCCAATCACAAATGCGTTTGGCCGGCCTCTCACAAATAAGCTTCAATAAATTCAATACTCATTTTCGTTGGCTTTTCTATTTCCTCGCTATCCATAATAACACAATAATGTCCTCGATAATGAGAGCAATTTTTCCACGACACTCGATTGACACATCCATTGTTCTAGGCCCTACCAATCATTAATCATATTTACCCCTCGGCAAGTGGCTTATTCTCTAAGAGAATTCCGACAATTTCTCATTTTAAGTTTTCAACTGGGACTAGGAAACAAAATTTGCTTATAAATAGCCAGAAAGCATGCTATACGCTGAAGCTTCCAACTTTGCGATGGGGAGGTGTGGCTGGAAAATGGGGGGGGGGGCAGGGATTGTTGGGGGTAGATAGATAAACTATTTTTATACAAGACACGTTTTCTGCGATGAGATGCGGGCGGCATAAAGGCGATGTACAGGCGAATGAAATGTTTTGCTGCTCCGCCTAAAAGTATGCAATCAAGTCAAATAACTT